AGAGCAGGAGAATTCTGGGAAGTAGGAAGCTGATTCTTCCCATTCCTGCCCAGACCATCTAAGCAGCAGGATGTGAGCTGCCCCACTGAAAAAGGTACTGAGCCACATGGCTAACATAGATCAGAAAAATGGGTTAATCAAGATGTGAACATTAGCTAATAAGAAGTCTGACCTAAAGGGTCAACCAGCTTTATAACTTATAGAGTCCTTTGTGTGATTTTTCTCTGGGACTAAACAGCTAGGGGGCCAGGCAGGACAGAAAAACCCCCAACAAACAGGCCTTTTCATGTTACATTACTGCCTTTAATTCCAGCAGTGGGGAAGCAGGAGAAGGTGAATCTGTGAGTTTGAGGCCAGACTGGTTCACATAATGAGTTTCAGGAAGTCAGGATTACATAGAGAGACCCTGTGTCAAAAAACAAGACAAACAAAAACCTATGAATAAACCTAACCAAAGAAGAGTATGAATAAACCTAACCAAAGAAGAGGAAGTCTCTACAATAAAAACTTTAAGACACTGATGAGAGAAACTGAAGAAGGCACTTGGCGGTGCAAAGACTTCTCAAGCTCACAGACAGACAGGAATAAGTGTAAAAATGGTTACACTATCAGAAGCTATGTACGGAGTAACTGCAGTTCCCATCCACATCCCAATGACGTTCCTTACAGAACTAGAATAAAATCACCCTGAAATTCATATGGGAGCACAAAACATTCTGAATAACAATAGAAATCTTTAGGGGGAAAAAGGCAGCACTGAAGTTATCAAAATAGCCAATCTTTAATGATATTGCAGTCATGGCAATAAAAACCACATAGTACTAGCCCAAAACAGATGCATAGACCAATGGGAAAGAACAGAGGACTCAGAGATAAACATACAGGCACAACAGACTGAGTTTTGACAAAGTTGTCAAAAATATACACTAAAGACAAGCCCCTTAAATGGTGCTGGGAAATCTGAATTCCCACACGTAGAATGAAACTAGATCCTATCTCTGCCCTGTCCCCAAAGACCTGGAACTTTAAAAGTTCTAGGGAAAACCACAGGTAAAGCACTTTGAGACTCGTCACAGCAAGGACTTTCTGAAAAAACAACCAGGAACTGACAAATGGGAAAACATGACCTGAAGAGGCTTCAGCAGAGCAAAGGACACAATCACTGGAGCAAAGTGACACCTACAGTGTGTGTGTGTGTGTGTGTGTGTGTGTGTGTGCGCGCGCGCGTGCACGTGCACACACGCATGCCAACTATACACCAGACAGATTAGTGTCCGATATATATAAAGAGCTGCAAAAATTAAAGCACTACAAAACTAAGCAGTCGGACCAATACATGGACATGAGATAAATAGTTCTCAGAAGAAAAAATATAACTAAGCTGTCGGACCAATACATGGACATGAGATAAATCGTTCTCAGAAGAAAAAATATAAAACAGTCACTATTTACTTGAAAAGGTGTTCAGCATCCTTACCTATCAGGGAGATGCCAACTAAAATTGCCTTCAGATTCCACCGCACCCCAGTCAGAATGGCTACCAACAAAGGAAAAGGGGGTAACAAATGCTGGGGGTGTGTGTGCCAGAGTGACACAGTACTTGATTTGTGTTTATGGAAATGCTATCATAAAACGTGTATTTTAAATAATACATTTAATTTTATTGTATGTGCATTCATGTAAGGATGTCAGATCCCCTGGATCCTGAGTTATAGACTGTTGTGAGCTGCCATGTGGATTCTGGGTCCTCTGGAGAGCAGCCAGTGCTCTTAACCGCTGCAATATCTCTCCAGCTCTAAAACATGTATTTTTTCAGAATGAAAAAAAAAAAGCTTCTCAGAGAAGTTTGGAGGAAAGAATATGCCAGCACAGAATACAGCTTGTGAGCACAGAAACTGAGAGGGGCAGGGTGGAGATATGGCTGTAGTTCATGTGTGTGCCCACTAAGGGGCAGCACACACAAACTCAGCTTTTCTCCAACAGCCAGACTCTGCCCTTCCTCAGGTAGATCTTCCCTCCACACCACAAGATTGTGTCACCCACCCATTCCCAAATGTAAGACTTCAGAAAGCCACCCCCTGCTGGCACCCTAAGCCACCCCCGCTGACACCTGAAGTCACCCTGCCGCTAACACCCTCAGAGAGTTTCTTTGCCACGTGGTCATTTACCCAGACACTGTCTTCGTTGCTCCCCCACACCCCCTCTGCTTGCCCCTTCTCTCCACGCTCTAGCTGAAGAATCCCACCTGGCCACTTCTGACACCTCACTGCCATCAGCACCACCTCCCTGCCTGCATGTGAGTGCAGGGATGATTGCCAAATGAATGGGTTCGGGATGATAGAGGGGATCCAGCTGGCCCAGCAGACGGTAGTAGGGTCTATTGTGGTGTTGCAGTTGAAGGTGGGTGACTCTGGCTTCAAATTGGGGTTTTTTAGTAGACATGGCATATACAACTAAAATCTACATTTTGTTACATCTTAAGAGACATGAACTTTATAGCTTTAGTTGATATTATTATTATTATTATTATTATTATTATTATTATTATTATTGGTGGTGGTGGTGGTGGTGGTAGTGGTGGCTTTTCAAGACAGGGTTTCTCAGTGTAGCCCTGGCTGTCCTGGAACTCACTCTGTAGACCAGGCTGGCCCTGATCTCAGAGATCTGCATGCCTCTGCCTTCTGCGTGCTGAATTTATTAATTTAATTAATTCTGTTTTCTCTTGAGAAACCGTCACCACCACTCTGGCAGGTGAGTGTTGATAGCTCTTAGTGTCCTCCATTTGCTGAATTTAGAGGTGGGGTGGGGTGAAGGAGTGTCATGGAGATCATGCCTTAGGTAACTGTGCGGCTGATGTCACACAGTCTCAGGATTGCTACTGTCAGAGACCGACTAGACCCCGAACCCTACAAGACAGGATGAAGTTGTCTGCAGGGGGTCATCTACTAAGGCCAGCTCACTGACTTCCACTCCTGAGGAAATGAGAATCTTTCCAGGGTTAGGGAAGGAATGTCCCAAAGTGCCTTTGATCTGTCTCAAGTCCCGCTACCTTAATGGCTGAGTTAAGAGGTGACCAGCCTCTTTAGAGGGGCAGTGATACTGGTGTAGGAAGAGCGTCCCAGAAGAAAATTGTGGGACTTCTCTCTCTCTTTTTCTGGTCTTGTTTTATTTTGAGACATAATCTCTTGCAGCCTAGCCTCACCTTGAACTCACCATGTAGCCAAGAACAACCTAGAACTTCTTGTCCTCCTGAGTGGAGAGATTAAACCTCCAGAGGGTTGAACTTAAGATAGCCACCCCTACACTTAATCTTAGGCCCGTTGGTTCTGGGGCTGGAATCCACTTTGATGTGTGGGGACACTGGGCCAGAGGCTGCTGAGAACCTGAGACGGGTCTAATGACCAAAGGCTGCAGAGAGGGCTAGGTGGAAGAAGCCAGGGGAGGTAGGAGCTGGGGTGGGGGGAGTGGTCAGTCAATTACTAGAAACTGGATATACCTGAGGACCCCTCGTGGGGCCCTAAGGCAATGGCCCTGGTCCCCGGGTCAGTTGGGTAGCTCCGGGAATTGCAGGCGGCGTCTATTTCAGAGTTTATGGTAAGAGGCTGGAGCCTGCACACACACACACAGACAGCACACCCCACCCTTTAAGGAAGTAGGGAGGAGAGCAGCAGGGGTGTGGTTAACGACCGAGAGGAGGAGGGGGGAAAACAACCTGTCAGCCTCTTACTCAGCCTCGGCGGGCAGAACCGCGAGTCCTACCTGCGGCCGTCGCACTCACCTGGCCCAGCCCGGAGCCCTGGCCCGAGTCCGCGCCTCGCCTACGGTGAGTCCTGTACGTCGCTACACAGCGCCGGGGTCGGGCCCCCGTCAATCGTTCGACTTAGGTGCACCGCGGGGGGGGGGGGGGTGTACAGTTCCGGTCTTCGGGGAACCTGGACGCGGCTGGGAATTCCTGGAAAGGGGACCAAAGACCCAGAAAGTCGGAGCCGCTGAGCAGGTGCTTATGCTGAGCTTACCGCCCTGAGCTGGGGGAGAAGGGATCTATTTTTGGACTTCTGAGACTAAAGGGTGTTTCCCCCGTTCTGTCCTGTTAGCTTATTCAGACAGGGGAGGCTGGTGCCACGGTTTGAAGAAGGCTTAACGAAGCAGCTTGCTTCTAAAGGTTGGGTTGGGGAGCCCCAGATCCAACCCGGGGCTTCAGAATCCAACTTCAGCTCCAGCGCAGCCCTCTGCCCAGGCACTGCGCGCTTTTCTCCCCAGTGCCCTTCGGAACCTTGTGGTCACATTTCCACTCCTATTCCCAACCTCTGGGACGTTTTTTCTGGGTTATCCAGAGGAGCCTTGCCAACGTGTGTGTGTGTGTGTGTGTGTGTGTGTGTGTGTGTGTGTGTGTGTGTGCCCCAAAGTTCCAAAGTTCACACTGGCTGCAAGGACACATTTTGAAGCTGCTGTCCCCATGCTACTCAAGGGTTAA